TGATTTAGATGTAGGTAAAGCTATAAATAAGGGAACATGAATTTACATCATGACTAAGAGACACAGCAGAGTCTAAACTACGAGTCTACATTGACTGACCTAGACACTMTACACATAACTCAATCATGGTCAATATGTGCTGGATTATCTGCTTTGAGGATTTGTACAGTGAGTGAATACAGGATGGCTGTTTTAATACTATTAGTCGGAACTAGTGAAATATTATTCAGCTTTCTGGACTATAATAATCAAGGCATATTTTGACAATAATTTTAGAAATTGTACTCAATGCACAACAGAGTCAATCTCATGCTGGTATGCATGTGTGTGGACACCCAGAATTTTCTCTCAAAATCACTTTTGTTTTGAATTTCCATGAAGTCCAACTATCAACTGTTGCTAACTACATGTAATTATTAGGGATAATATCCAGGGACGGGTTGTTCAAACCCCGATTAGCGCTAATCCTGGGTTAACTCTTAGAAAACCTATGGAGTTAACCCTGGATTAACACTAATCAGGCTTTGAACAACCCGGCCCTGACCATAATTATTAGCAAACCAAGACAAATTCACTCGGTTAACTGACTTATGTCATAGAAACTGCTAAAAATACTTTTAATCAAAGCGTCAATCAAAGCCAGTTATGATTACTTTCTAATTTCAAGAACAAAACASTAGACACAATAATCTAAAAACATATTGATAGTTGATTAAAAAAGATAGGAAAGAATATAAGACGTTAATAACCTTTCCAATTTATTTCTTTTTGTTCAAACAGAAAGATTCTGCATTTGCTGACTTTAAAGATGAAACMTCTGCTGTAAAGGTGAGTTTAGATTAGTTAATCTGTAATTTGTTAATTATCATGATACTGGTAGTTATGCTATGAAATATGGACCCTAAAAGTGTTTAAATAACAWGGACAATTTATAGCATTTTCATGATTAAAAATTGCTTTAGACATAAACACATCAAAACCTCAAAAAGTCATTTACACATTTCACATTTAATTTGTAAAGTTTACAACTTTACGTAAATGTTTGATTTGTATTTAAATATCTGCAGTTTTTAATTGAAATCCTTCACCAAAATAAATAGTTTTAACATTTTATGCATATAATAATCCTTACTAACCTTGTAGTTGTCTTAGTTTATGCCTTAACTGTATTCAACAAACCACAACCATTTCACTAGTTTACTAGAGCGGATTTCGTATGAGTGGGACACCGTTACCACACGGTTACCGCACAGTCACCGCACCTGGCCTGCAAAATTTTGGTGAACCAATGGGGCACTAGAATTTGGTTACAGTACGATTACGGTCACAGTACAGTACCATCCGTTTCCCACTCATACGAAATAAAAAATAAAAAATTATCTCAAAATATATTTGATAAATAGAGGATATTACATGGGCGCCATATTTCCTTGAATAGATGCTGTAGCATGTGTTTTATTCATYATCATTCRGGTGCAGTGTKTATTTGACAGTGGTCTTTATTYWYAWAWAKAGRRKRTKWYAYRKGSGC